CTCCAGGGGGTTTGTATTCACGAACTCACGTAATCCTTACAACCCCAGGATGGATGTATTCCTACTGTTACCCCATTTTACAGAAGAAGAAACTAAGGCGTCATGAATCTAAGTTCCAGAGCTGGTATGGGGAAAAGCTAGAAGCTGGTCTTGGACAGTCCAAACAGCAGATCCCAAGCCGCCTTTACCATTTATTGCTCGTGTCCCCCCCCCCTCCCCAGTCCCTCCCACAAGACCCCAGCACTTATCATGTCCCCTACAGGTGAGGAACTGAGGGTCTGCGAGATTTAGGGCCTCTTGAAGGTCACATGGCTGGCCGGTGCCTGGGAGGCCCAGAGCCTTTCCTATTCGCCTCCTACATGAGCCCACCTGGGACCTGGGAGGGACCCTGGACCCGGAAACAGAACGCTGAGGAGCCCAGGAGCATATGTTTGGGTTTAGGAAAAAAATCTAAACCAGGGAGGCTGGTGCGACTAAAAGCTTTGTCCTGGGTTTAATCACCCTGCGCAGTCAGCCCTGTGGTGACTCCTGGTGGCCAGTGGGGCTGGGAAGGCAGCGTGTCCAGGAGCGACCAGACGTGTCCCCCTCGGAACTCCTCACCGCCACACAAGGACTGAAGCTTGTGCCTCGAAACCCAGATGCAAGTGTCCTCCCACAAATGTTAGGGGAAGGACTCTGTCTCCCGGTGTCACGCCCAAAGCATTTGGGAATCACCTTTCCCCTGGGGGGTGGCAGGAGAAGGCACGCTCTGGGAATAACCACTGGGGGTCACTGCTCCAAGCTTCGAATTCAGAGAAGAGGGTCCACCGGCAGCCTACGCCTTTAACTAGGAAACAGTTGGCAGCAGGTTAAGGGACGGTGATTAATGGATGCGCTGTCACTCCTTAGAAACTCCCAAGGTGGCTCTTTAGGTTCTATTATTACTTACACTCTCCATCTGCTGACCTAGGCTGCTGTCATGGTTCACTGTCATCTAGGACTGCCTGCTCAGGCTGCAGCGGGGGACACAAAGAGAGTGGGGTACAACGTTCCAAGATGAGCTCGAGGGGACACCCCAGGTCAGGGTGGGTGGGGGGTAACTAAGATGTGACACAGCCGTAAGGTGGGGCTGAGATTTTTGACAACATTTGATAATAAAGAAAAGCCTATTTCAGTGATCGCACATACACAGTCACGTGCCGGGGAGAAAACATGCCAGCACGTTCACCGTGGCCATTTCTGACGGCTGCAATTAACAAGGATACTTCTTTCTCACGCACTTTGTGCCCTGATCTGTTTTACAACCACCATACGTTTCCTACATAAGAACGAATGCAAAGAAAAGGCAACGTCCAAAACGAATGTGGCTTTAGGAGTCAGATCTGGATTTAAATACCCACTCCACAATGTGCTTCTCTGAATGACCTTGGACATGACTCAACACCCAGAGCCTGACATTCCCGGTTCCTCACTTGTTAGATGGGGCTGATGAAAGGAGACTGAGAAGGCCACACTCTTCCTGATTCTGCTGCGAGCTGTTCGTTACGTAGCAGGTGTCCTCTGCTCCAGGCTCCTTCCCACAGACTTGGTGAGGACAGATTTGCCTCAGTCCCTCTCCCCTGAGGCTGGGGGCCGGAGAGAGGGGTTGCACTGGGAGCCTGCTGCTGAACAAAATCAAAACTGTAGAACCCCTGAGCTTCTCACTTTGTTTGAAAAAGCAGTTGGTCTCATGTGAGGAAGAAGTTGTGGGAAGGGGGCTCTCGCGACAGAAATATGAGTCTGTGCCCATGGGTTGCTTCGCTGAGCTTACTTGTCATCCCCAGAAATCATCTCTGCTCTGTCTGGAAAGAAGTGTTCTCTGGGCTTCCTGGCAATCCAGATACCTTTTTTTTTTTTTTTTTTAAATAACAGTTCTATTGAGATATAATGCACATACCATGTAATTCACCCATTTAAAGTGTACAATTCAATGGCTTTTAGTATATTCAGAGCTGTACAACCATCACTGCTATCAACTTTAGAAAGCTGCCATCTCCCTAGAAAGAAACCCCTTAGCCATTAGCAGTCACTACTCTTGCCCCAGCCCTATGCAATCACCAATCTACTTTCTGTCTCTATAAATTTGCCTATTTTTGGACATTTCACATACGAATGGAGTCATGCTCTATTCAGTCTTCTGAGACTGCCTTTTTCATTTAGCACAACATTTTCAATGTTGCAAGGCATATCAGCTTCATTCTTTTTTACTGACAAGCAATATACCATTGTATGCATATAACACATTTTTAAAAAAATTTTTAATGTTGATCTATTTTTGAGGGAGAGAGCAGGGAGGGGCAGAGAGAGAGGAAGACACAGAATCTGAAGCAGGCTCCAGGCTCTGAGCTGTCAGCACAGAGCCCGAAGCAGGGCTCAGACTCATGAGCCGTGTGATCATGACCTGAGCCGAAGTCGGACACCCAGCCGCTGAGCCACCCAGGTGCCCCCAGAGTAGATGATATTTTGAGCAGAACTCCAGGGGACCAGGCAGACTGTCCTGCAGAGACAAGGCAAGCCTGTGCCAAGGCGCTCATGTGCTCACAGACCCAGAGACCAGGAAGCTTGGTCCGCGGGGATGAGTTCTGTCCTCCTAAAGGTGGGAAGTGGAGAGTCTGGGGAGAAGGTGGAATCACACTGGGGGAGACTGCATGCCGGGCTGGAGTCTGAACAGTGTCCTGCGGGCAGCAGGAAGCCGTTGAAAGTTCTGAGCAAAATACTAAGGTAACAGCCTTCCATTAACACTCTGGTGTCTGTTTTCAGACCCAGGTTCCCAGAACCCTGGAAATTATCCTCCTCTAGTTCACAGATGAATTGGCTTCACACTCGTGCATCTTTGTGTCTCCAGAACCTAGGACAGTGCCTGATGCACTGTAGCAGCTCAATAAACAGTAGCTGAATGAATGAATGAATGAATGAACGAACCAATCAGTCAGTCTGCCTGCCAGACTCCTCCTCACCATCCTCTCCTGGTGCCCCTCCTGGCTAGGTGAAGCGAAACAGCTGGTGTGTTCCAAATTCTCCATCTCACCCATCTACCCTCTCCCTCCCAGCCCCTCACCTTCTCCCTCGTGGCTGCCCCTCTCCCTTCTGGTCCCGAGTAAATAAAGGGACAGAACCCTCATGTACTCCTGCTGTGTGCTAGGCAGCAGCAACTACTTTACCTTTTATTTTTATTTCTTTTTAGCAGCAATTACTTTAAATTCTCACAACAGCTCCAGGGATAGAAATGATTAACTGCACTTTGCAGGTGAGGAAATTGTGATTCACAGTGGTTATGGGACCTGCCCAGCGGCTGAGTGCCAGAACAAAGACTCACAGGGACTTCTGATTCCATGGAGGGCTCTCAGCTAGGGGTGTGGAGTCTTGGGGGGGAGGAAGAGGAGGCAAAGGAAGGAAGCATCGGGCCCAGGGCCCAGGACCCAGGACCAGGTGAGTGGATCCCGGCTACATGGGGGTGTTGCATCCAGGTTCCTCTGCTCCACTCCCATGGCCACTTCCCCAGGCTGGAGGACCCCCCCCCCCCGCTAAGCACAAGCAAGCATACACACACATGTGCATGCATGCATGCACATGGGCACATGCATGCACACATACTTGTCCGAGCACACACATACACATGCACACATGCCCCAATGCATGCACACATGCATGCATGCAGACATGTGCATGCATATGCACACACAAACACGCATGCTCACATGCATGCGTGCATGAGCATGCACACACATGCAGACACACATGCATTCACAAGCATGCACACGCACGCTTGCACACATGTACACAGCAGCCCAAAGCCTAGAGAGCCACACCAGCAGTTGCCTTAGGCAGAGAGACTTTATTTTTTTGTAAGATTACTCCCCAGAGAAATGTTTCCTATTATGCCCAACATAAATAATAGAGGGAGTCCCCTCCAAATGCCGGCCCTGTGGCCAAGGTCATGACCACCTCACTCTTCACCTGGAAGTTTACCTGGCACAAAGGGCTCGGCCCACACAGGTTCAGAGCCGAAGAGGTCCAAACAAGTAGGTGACACACCTCCTCCCTCATGACATCACCTCCCCTTAGACCAAGTGTCTACCAAGGTCACGTGTTTCCCGCTCCAAAACCGAGAACTTCACTGGGCCTTTGCTCTGGGTCTGCATAACAGCAACCAGCAGGCAGCTGAGACCCTTCTCTGGCTAATCCAGGTGTCAGCTGGCCGTGAAATGTCTTTTCTTTTTTTTTTTTTAATTTTTTAAACATTTTTATTTATTTTTAAGAGACAGAGGGAGACAGAACACAAACAGAAGAGGGATAGAGAGAGAGAGGGAGACAGAATCCAAAGCAGGCTCCAGACTTGGAGATGTCTCTACAGAGCCCAATGCAGGCTCAATCCCATGAACCATGAGATCATGACTTGAGCTAAAGTTGGACCCTCAATCACCTGAGCCACCCAGGTGTCTCTCTACTCATTTTATAATTGGAATTTTTTTCTATTGAGTTGTATAAGTTTTTATATATTTTGGATATTAACATCTTATCAAACAGATGATTTACAAGTATTTCTCCAATTCTGCAGGCTGTCATTTCATATTATTGATGGTTTCCTTGCTGTATAGAAGTTTTTAGTTTGATGTAGTCCCACCTGTTTATTTTTACTTACTTATTTAGCAGTTGATTTCTTTTTTTAAATTTAATTTAATTAATTAATTTATTTGTTTTTTCTTACAAATAGTTTATTGTCAAGTTGGTTTCCACATAACACCCAGTGCTCATCCCCACAAGTGCCCTCCCCCATGCCCATCTCCCCCCTCCCCCCCACTCCCATCAGTCCTCAGTTTGTTCTCAGCATTCAAGAGTCTCTCATGGTTTGCCTCTCTCCCTCTCCCCCACTATTCCCCTCCTTCTTCTCCCCCATGGTCCTCAGTTAAGTTCCTCCTAATCTTCCTATACATGCAAACATATGATATTTGTGTTACGCTTAGTGAAATAAGCCAGGCAGAGAAGGACAAATGTCTTTTCTTTTTTTAAAGAAAAAGGAATGGCTAGTTAATACTAGTAGCCTGGCAGGCAGAGTGTTCCTGGACACGGGGTCCTCCACAGCGGGGAAAGATTAGCAAAGCGTCCTCGGGCCAAAAAGCAAGAGCTTCAGAGCTAGGCCGTTGCAGGGGACTTCCGTTCCCGCCGGCACTCCCAGTATACCACGAAGGGGTGCACGAACGTCAAGAGAGTGGCCAGCACCAGCATCACGTTCACCTGGTGGGGAGAGGGGGGGGAGTGAGGTCCAGAACTCCAAGTGGCAGTCGCTACCCACAAAGGTGCAGCCTTGACTTCCTCCTGAGACGCTACGGTGCCCTGGGGGAAAGCCTGCTTTTTCACTCTGCCTGGTGGAGCAGAATTGGGGAGGAATATTGTGCCCATTTCACAGATGAAGAAACAGAGGCCTTGAGAGCCCTCAATGACCTGCATAAGGTCACACGGGAAGCTGGGGGGACAGGGGCTCAAACACACATCTTCTGAATACGGTCAGACTCGCCTGACTTCACAATCAAGGAATTCTCCTCAGTTCTGAGGTTCAGTCCCTTTTTTTTTCTCTCCCAATGACCGACTTGAGCTTCTGTTCTACACTTTGCTAATCTTTTTTAAATGAGGCTAACAGAACTGTGCGGTGGTCAGAATACGAAATTCAGAGTCAAAAGACTTCTGCTCCTTCACTATGTGCTTCTGAATACATAAGTCGCACACCCCAAATTCCTGAACCTTTGTCTTCAATCTGCAGAGAGGTGGAGCTCCATAGCAGCTTGCAGGGCTGGGCCTATGAAAACTCCCTGGGATGGGGACAGAGGGGTGAGGGTACAGAGAATAACCATGGAAACCAACGTGTATTGTAGTCCCAGGGCCGAGGCCGGGGTCAGCCTGCACTCGCCACAAGCAGGAGGTGTCTTTAAAGTCTTAGGGGTTCATCTGAAATGTTGTAAGCATTTCACATTCTCTTCCAGAACATGTCTATTTGTTTCCACACACAGAAAGACTATTTTCTCCCCAGATCTCTAGTAATTCGGACTCTCTTGGAAGCCCCACCAGGTTAGTCTTGTGGTTTCCAGAACCCCTGCCTTATGGGTACCCCAGTTTGAGAAATAAGACCAAGGATGCAGCCATGTGCAGAAATCGTCCTGCAGGAATCATCTCAGCCAGATTTGGGGTGCGCCGTGCTGGCGCCCCGCGGAGGCACCCCAGTCTGGATGTCCTTGCCGGTCTAAGGCCGGAGGCCACACCCCTCCCTGCAGTACTCACGTAGAACGGGTCATTCTTGAGGGTGCCTTTGATGAAGGTGAAGATGGGGAACTGGAGCAGAGACACAATGGCCGACAAGGCCATCACCAGCCCAAAGAGTTTCCCAAAGTGCTCCGAAGGGAAACTGGGGAGAGACATAAACAGGGATCCGGTGAGCTCCAAGGAGGGGCGTGGCCGCGGTGGGCAAGTGTCAGCCACTTCTCCCAAGTCCCCCTGGCCCTAGGCCTGGCTTCACTCACCCCCACCCACACAGAGCTTCCCCCCTCACCTTTGCTCAAACACAGAACAGAGAGGGTACGGTGCAGGGCCCTGGGGAAACAGCAGGGACCCAGACACAGGCTGTGCCCACAGGGCTCTCAGGGAAAAGACAGGCACATGAACAGGTCAGTATTCGCTGGATGATGCGCGCACTCTCAGAGGAAGCAGAACAGCGTTTCAAGGGCACAAGGAAGGAGGACTCTCTAACTCTGGGACAGTTGAACCGGAAGTGGGCCTTGGAGGGGGGACAGGAGTTCACCAGGTAGATAAGAGAGGCAGAGAGGAGAGCTGGTGTGAAGGCTCAAGTTTGTGAATGTTCTATCCCTCCCACCAGCTGCTACCTCTACCCGACCCTCTACGCCTTTCCCAGACCCTGCCCCCCTCATGGACCAGGCCCTGGTCCATCCTCACCTCCTGACCTCTTTACCTCCAGCACATGACCCTTCGTGCCCATGTGTCCCCCGTGGTGTTACCCACTTGAGCCCACTTACGCGAGGGTGAGGAAGGCAGCATTGCCCCCATAGAGGAAGGAGCGGCTGATCACTTGCAGGATGAAAGTGACATACTGGAGGGGCAGGATGGGGACCGAGGCACAGAGGGCGAAGCCCAGGCACAACAGAGACGTCAGAGCCAGAGAAGGCACCGCCGAGCGGAGGGCCGCTGTCATGGCAGAGGACCCTGGTCCAAAGGAAAAAGAGGCTGCATGGAGGCGAGCACAGTGGAGGATGGGGAAGGGACACCAAGATGCGAGAAGAAGAGGAACCACCGTCATCCCCCCCTCCCCCAACCATCCAGGCAGAAACCTCTTCCTCCCACATGCTCGTCTCCAATCCATCCCCCTGGTCCGTGGTCACCACCAACGCCCGCCTGGATTGTGACAGTGGCCTCCTACCAGGGGCCACATGCTCTGGTCCCTCCAAGCCAAAGCCAAATGTTCCATGTAGCTCTCAGGGGATGGCAACATCAATGCCACAGCCACGGGACAGACCACAGCAGCTGAAGGGGCCAGGGGAGGCCGTGCTCCAGAGCACCGTCTGGAGGGAGAGAGCTGTGGGTCACCGCGTGCAGCGTGTGCCTTCATCCGAGAGAGGGCAAGGCAAAATACACATGTGTGTGCGCGCTACAGTATTCTGTGATCATCTGCAACTACAGAATACAATTCAGAGAATGCAGACTATATATGTGTGTGTATATATATATATATATATATAAATGCAGAAGATTTTATATTTTTATATATATTTTTAATATATATAAATAATAAATAAATATATAAAAATAATACAGAATTTTTTATATATATAAATATAAAATCTTCTGCATTTTCTTTAAAAAGCCATAAAAATAATTACCTAAAGAAAGAGGGAATGAATGGAGGTACAGGGAATGGAAAGGGAAATGAAACGTCTTCGAATATATTGTATTTCACAGTTGGGAAAAATTTAACTATTTGCTATTAAACAACTAAAAATAAAAATTAGGCGTGACCGGGTGGCTCCTTTGGTTAAGCATCCGACTCTTGATTTCAGCTCAGGTCATGATCTCACAGTCAGTGAGTTCAAGACCCATGTCAGGCTCTGTGTTGATAGTGCAGAGCCTGCTTGGGATTCTCCCTCTCTCTCTGCCCCTTCCCTGCCTGTATCTTTCTCTCTCTCAAAATAAGTCAACTTAAAAAAAATTTAAATTAAATTAAAAGAATAGGAAGAAAACAAAGCAATCCCAAAAAGTCAGAAACCAATCCCCAAAACTCAGAAACCAAAAAACATACAGAGATGGTGACTCTTAAAACACCGTCATTTGACTGCACATCTCATTGGGATATAACTTAAGGATAAGCAAGGGAGGAAGGAAGGAAGGGCAACAGTACTCAGCAATCGTATGGTTATTAATAGTGTTGATATTGTGAAGCCAGGCATTATGTATAAAATATATTTTTAAAATACTATACATGTGCATATGTATACAGTGGAGAGCATAGAGTTTACGTGTATACAGTGTACGTATATAGCATTGTGAGGAACTACAGTTTTCAGAAAAGAGACATAGATATAAAATCAAGAAAGTAAACTTTGTTTTGGGTTTTTTTTTAAATGTTTATTTATTTTGAGAGAGAGAGAGAGCACGTAAGCATGTAAGGGGAGGAGAATCCCAAGCAGGCTCTGCACTGTCAGCACAGAGCCAGATATGGGGCTCGATCTAATGAACGGCGAGATCATGACCCAAACTGAAATCAAGAGTCATATACTTAACCGACGGAGCCGCCCCAGCACTCCAAGAAAGAAAACTTTGGATTAAACTATGTTACATCTCTCCAATGCCTAAAAGCACAGACAACCAGGAGAATTGGAAGTCCTAGTGTCCAGACTGCCATCTTTAAATACCATTTCCCACTTCAAGGGACCCAGGACTACTTGGGGAAAAGGCTGTTTGAGGTCTGGGGCAGGAAACATACCCCGTGATGGGGATCTGAACATTTCACTGTGTTCGGAAATAGGACACTCCCTAAACCTACTGGCACTGTGTGAAAGGACACAAACTCTGAACTGGTAAAGTTCCCAATGACCAAAGATGGACTGATTTGAGCATCAAGAAGAATCGTGATTGACATGGATGGAAACATGTCAAGTATATTTAAACTGTTTGTTTTTTTATTGTTTATTGGTTTTTGGGAGAGAAAGAGACAGCGTGTGAGCAGGGGAGGGTCAGGGAGAGAGGGAGGCAGAGAATCCCAAGCAGGCTCTGCACTGTCAGCACAGAGACCGACACGGGCCTTGGACTCATGAACCGTGAGATCATGACCTGAGCCAAAATCGGACGCTTAACTGACTGAGCCACCCAGGTGTCCCAATCAAATATATTTGAAATGAGACTTTGAAAGGGAAATGACATTAAGATGTAAAGTAATGAATGAAATAAAGGAGAAGCGACAAGTCATCACCTCTGGAGGTTGCTAGGGTACCAAGTCATTATTCTGAAACTGGTAAACAGAGGAAAAGCCAAGCACTTATTTCAGGGTGCAAAGCCACCAATGAGGGAAAGCTTTTCTTCCTGGAGGAGCTCTAGCAAGTAAATGCAGAAGGAAAGACAGAAATAGAAAAATCTCCATTTTGCAATCCTAATAAAATAATGGAGCCCAGCAGTGATGACCAGTAGCTACTAAAATCATTAGCCGGGCGGCTGATGGGAAACTCGGTAATGCGTGCATCAGACTGGCGATGTCTGGACCCACCGATCAATCCTAACATCGTAAGAACAGGGACAGCCAGGACCAGGGGCTGATAAGAACCAGAGAAAGCCCACAGCTCCACCTCCAAGCCATGCTCGCCAAAAAAAATATTAAACTGCATCTCTTCGAGCCTCCAATCTGCCTGTTTATAGGAAATACACAATCAAAAAAACATCTTTCAGTGATACCAAAGGATGCCAAATCCAATCTGGGGGACATCTGACAGAGCAAATGACCCAGTTTCTTCAACAAATAAACAAAGAGAAGAAACAAAAGGTGGGGGGAGGGGAGGGGACATAATGTAAAATGACACATAAGGCACATCAACCAAATACACGGGGCAGACCCCGTGTGCATCTTAATTCGAACAAACCAACTGTAAAAAAATTTTTTTTTTAGTTTTAAAAGGCATATTTGAGATAATGTGGGAAATTTGAACAGGGCTGCATGTTAGATGGTGTTAAGAAATTATTGGAGTGTTTTCTTAGATGACAATGATAATACGGCGATGTTGAAATAAAAAGGGCCTTATTTGTTAGAGAGCCAAACTGAAGTATTTACAGATGAGATGATCTGATGCCTGAGATCTCAAAATGCTCTGGCAGGGGCAGGACGTACAGGGCCGGGGAAGGGGGTACCTCAGTGGCCCCCTACTCCTCTGGTCTCATTTGAGGGTTGCATCCATGCTCCGTGGCATGGCACCGCCTGTTGCCTCTCTCCCTTCAGCACCTTCTCTGCACCCCCGGGCAGACTGAAATCCCCTCTGGGATTCCTCAGCTCCCCCACTGTTTTGCTAGCTCCTTCACCAACCTGACCCCAGTATATTCCAGGGCTACTCTCCCAGGGCCCTCCTCCTCATCCCCTCACTTCATGCTCATCCTTTGGGACTCAGCTCGGAAGCCACTTCCTCCAGGAAGTCTTCCTGATGTCATCCCCCTCCTCACCCAGCATAGGCTTTATGCCCTTGCATCCCTATCGCACCCCGGGAGCTGACTTCATGGATGGTAATGCCTGATCACCCACCCCCCTCCATTCTCTAGATGGAGAACAGGCTTGGGAACAAGGGCACCCCTGTCTCGTCCACTGTGGAATCTGGAACTGCAGCTGGCATGTAATTCACACTTGGTGGCTAGCGGATGGATGGACGTGGATGGACACAAGAAGAAAAGGATTAAGAACAAAAGACAAGGCGGCTTTGGCCGTGCATGAAGATTCCTCATCTTCCTGGCTCTCCAGGCCTCACCTGTGCTTTTCGCTTCCTTCTGGTACTTCTGCTTGAGCCGGTCCATGAGCAGCCCATTCCAGGGGGCACACAGCACTCCGAAGAACTGAGTGATGGCGAAGGCGTTTGTGTAGGTGCTGACTGCAGAGGGCGGACAGGGGGTGGCCAGTAAGAAACTTCCAGGACTGCCTTACCGGAGAGGACTGACCCACCTGCCTTTGCCCTGCCCGTCCCTCCTCCCCACACCCCTGCTCAGACCTTCCTGCGGACCACAGAGCCCCACTGAGCTCAGTACCCCGCACCTCAAGGTTCCAAGTCCCCCTCCGGGCTGCGCAGATGGGCCGCCCCTCCCCCCCAGAGCCCAGCCACATACCTAGTTCCCTGTCACCCTTGGCCAGGCTGGTGAGCAGAGAGTTGAGGGTGCCGATGAAGAGGTAGTGCCACAGCTGAATCACAGACAGCCACAGCAGGTGGCAGGCGAAGCGCTGAGACAGAGCATAGCTCCAGAAAGAGCGGGTCTCCGGCTGCTTCCCTGGTCCTAGCGCCTCTGATGGGGAGGAAGGATCTGGGGCATAAATTAGAAGAAGGTAGGGGAGCGGGATGGGAAGGAGTGTAGGGGCCTCATGGGGCAGCCCAAGCAGTGAGCTCACCTTCTCTTGCCTCCCAGGCTGCATCTGGAATGTTCTCTGAGCTGCCAGCAAGCAGCACATCCCCACCCCTACACCTCTGTTATCCCGGCCCCCCCATCGTGAATGACCCACCCACGTCCCCCTCTGTCTGAGGAAACCCCATCATCTTTCGCAGCTTGGATTCAATGACATTTCCTGCACCAACGCTCTCAGCCAGGACAGGGGCGAGAAAGACAAGGAGAAGATGCTATTCGTTGGAGATGAGGTGAGGGTAAATGGCAGCCAGCTGCTGTCTCAGCCGCTCCCCGGGTCCCTTCCCTTGCTTTCAGTGCCAGGATCCTGAGTCTATTCTGGAAATCTTCCCCTGCCCGAGTCCCCGTGCTCGAGGCTCCAGGCGGGGCTGTAAACGAGGTGTCCTATTCCTCACTCAGGGCTGACCCATTCGATCGCTCTCCCTGGTGAGGCCGATGGGCTATGATTTTAGTCTGGGGTCCCCAGAAGCACCCTGGCTCTCCTCTGAGCCTGGCAAGTTCATGGTCCTCTTAATTTTGTGAACTTTCCCACAATCCTGTTCTTGCTCCCACCTCGCCAGCAGTGGTTTGGGATGTTTGTAACCAAAGCCCCAAAACAGCGGAAGGAAGGGAGGCAGCAAAGGGATGAGAGAGGGCGACCGAGGGGGGCAGGTGGGACATCTACATGCAACAGGGCAAAAACAGGCAGACTCGGGGACTGAGGGGTGGAAGGCAAATGCCCTGGGGGTTGGGGACGATGTCTAATGAGATTAAAAGAGAAAAGAGGGGCAGAAAGAGAAAACACAGAAGTCTGGGCCCCTCCATGGACCTGCTGTAAAAGGGAGGTGGGGTGGGGAAGACCCCACACATCCTCTTCTGGAGGGACCTTTTATTTTTAAAAACAATTTCAATGTTTATTTTTTAGAGAGAAAGAGAAAAAGAGAGAATATTAACTGGGGAAGGGCAGAGAGAAAGACACATAGAATCTGAAGACGGCTCTGGGCTCTGAGCTGTCAGCACAGAGCCCAACATGGGGCTCGAACTCAGGAACCGTGAGATCATGACCCGAGCCAATGTCAGGCACTTAGCCAACTGTGGCACCCAGGTGCCTGGGATGGACCTTTGTGATTCTGAGTCCCCCGGGGCGGGGAGGGGTGGGAGGGGACAGAACAGCTAGAATGGGGGGCAGGAGGCAGAGCACCAAGTCGGCTGCTGGGTTCTGAAGGGGAAGCATCTAAACCAATGGGACTCACCTTCCTTTGCTGGAAGGAACTCCTTGGACTGCAGCTCCAGCTTTCCGGACTCCGCCGTCTTCTCTTCCTCTCTGGTGTCATTCCCAGAGCACAGCCTATGGACACAGAAGCCCCCAGCCCAACCCAAGGACTGAGAGCTAGGCCTGAGATTCAGGCTGCGGGGGCCCCCAAATTTCACTGCACAAGCCACAGCCCCGACCAGTCACCTCCAAAAGTCTGGGCACAGGAGCCAGGCTTCCATATATTTTTTTACATGCTTATTGTTTATTTATTTTTGAGAGAGAGGGTGAGCAGGGCAGGGGCAGAGAGGGAGGGAGACAAAGGACCCGAAGCCAGCTCCCCGCTGACAGCAGAGCCCAACAAGGCGCTGGAACTCAGGAACTGTGTGATCATGACCTGAGCTGAAATCAAGTCGGATGCTAAACCCACTGAGCCACCCAGGCGCCCCAGGCTTCCATATTTTTTAAAGCTCTCCAGTGATTCTATTACACAGCAAAGCTTGGAAACCACTGGAAGTGTGAGCAAAGTGGGCGGGGCCGGGGTTCAAATCCCAGTTCTGCCTCCTCCCAGCTGTGGAAACACCGCTCAGACTTAGCCCTTCTGAGCCTCATTTTTCTCATTTGGAAAACGGAGATAAGGATATTTATCAGGGAGGATCATCACACAATGACACCAGAGGGCACGTGGGGTGTGGCAAAGAGTAAGTGAGCACCAGTGAATGTCCCCCCTCCCCATTACCCGTGGTGCTGACTGCAAAAATGGCACATTTCCGTGCCTGCTCTGTTCTCTGACCTTGGCAATGGGACTTTGCAGCACTGTTTCTGCAGCCCCTGTATCAGGGCTGGCCTTGCAAGCTGCTTCCGCCAAGGGAATGCAACAGAAGTGATGTTGGGCCAATTCTAAGGAACCTTGTGCACGTCTGCACTGTTTCTTGGAAACAGTTTCCTGCACTGTTTCCTGGAACTAGCCTGATGGAGGATGAGGGCCCTGGGACCCAGACATCTTTGTCACCCTGAATGACTGACAGACAAACCCCATGTGAGGGAGGCCATCTTCCCTAGCCAGCCTCCAGCTAGCCCACCGGATGATCAGAGGCATAAGCGAGCCTGTTGACACCATCCAGGTCCATCTCTGATCAGCAGAACTAGCCAGCTACCCACAGACTTATGAAAAATAAGAAACACTTAATGTTATTGAGTTTTGCAGTAGTTTGTTACACAGCAGTAGCTAGCTGATACACCCCCAGTGCAGTCCTCCTGTCCTGTGACAGGAGGTCATGTCTGTCCCACCCCTGGCTTCCTACCACAGGTCAGGTGAAAGGTTCTGGCCCACAGTCACCAGATCACAGTCCTTACCCGTAGCTGTAGTTCGAGGGCAGTGGGTAGGGGATATGCCCTCGGGGCATCAGGAGGAAAGTACGCCCAACATGCCAGGCACTGAAGACGGAAAGGAAGATGAAGGAGGCCTTGAGGCTGACACCCTGTTCATGAAGGAGCTGCAGAAGTAGGAGGGAAAAGTCAGCATAACCCCCATATCCGTGGAATATTATTCACAGCATCCAAAAGGTCAAAGCAAACCATTAGCAGAGAAGTGGGTAAATGAGATGCGGCACGTACACACAACGGGACATCATTCAGCCTTAAAAAGGAGGGAACTGGGGCGCCTGGGTGGCTCTGTCGGTGAAGTGTCCAGCTTCGGCTCAGGTCAAGGTGGTAAATTTTATGTTATGTGTGTTTTACCAAATGAAAAAAAGGTAAGAAGCATGGGCTGGAAGGCCAGCCTGTAACCGCTCTTGCATTCCAGCCTGGACACTGATCAAAGACGCCTGACCCACGCACAGGCTCGCCCAGCAGGGGAGCCATCGTGTGTCGCCCATCCCCACCGCCTTGTCAAGTCTCCTAATGTGGCTTCTCAGACACCTGCCAGCCTCCTGCTTTTTAATTTTTATTTAATAGCAGCCAAGTCCTTTTTCTCAGACACAACTTTACACAAAAATTCAACTTATGAAACACATGGTCATCCTCCCCCTCATTCTCCTCGGTGACCAACGTAATATCAAAGGAACCCCTCAGTGTTCCTCAACACCCAGTTTGAAAACCGTTGATGTAGCCCAGTGTCCACCCTTTACAGGGGGTGAAAGTGAGGTCCAGAGAGGTGTGATGACCTGGTCTGGGTCAGAGTAGGCGGCAGCAAGACCAGATTAAAGGAAGAACTCAGCCCCTGCTCTCTCTCTTTCCTGTCAACTCTAAGGAGGGAAGACAGAACGGGAGGCACACCCAGGGGAAGAAGGGAGAAGCAGGAAGTGACTCTTGTGCCAGGGGTAGAGACGGTAGAGTAAGTGCCCCTGGGGACCAGTCTCCGGGTGACCCTCCAAGCCAAGGCACTCCAAGACTAAGCTAGTCTCATGTCTGGTAGTGACTCCCAGAGACCCTCTTCTCCTCCCCCAGGGCCCATGGGCTGTGCCAGCTGCCTCTGGCTGACACAAAGCCTGGAGGGAAGGCCCAGGTTAGGCATCTTCGGGTGTCAAGGACCCACACTCTTTCATTCCTTCCACCCAGTCATCCTTAGTGCCCTCCAGCTGGTTGCCTCCTAATCACAGCATGGCTGCCACAATGCCAGCAATCGTTCCTGCCATCGCAACATTCAATGAGAAAAAGTGGGAAGAGGGCTCAAGGAGAAAGGCTTTCTGTCTGCTCTGCTCTCACCTTCCATCAGGGAGGGGAAATATCCCCTAAACACTTCCAGGAGATACACCCTTCACCTCATTAATAAGGACTGGATAATATGATCACCTTTACCCATCACTAGCAGGGGGGAAAGGGATTGTCACAATTGGCTTAGAGCAATGAGGATTCGTCCTCTGGGCTGGACGCATCACCGCCCAGACAGAATTGTTAGTAATGAAGACAGTGGAATGGCTGTTGGGTGAACCACTGAGAACAGCCCATCCCCCGATCCCCAAAATCATCCTGTAGGAGAGCTGGAGAGGCCTCTGCATCTTCCACTAATGCTCCCACCTTCTTGTCCAAACTAGAAGCTCAGAGGTACAAACACCCGACTCCAAAGGGCTCCCAGCCCCTGCCTAACACCAGCCCAGGCACATCACAGCTTCTCTCCAAAACTCCTCCGTAGGTATAAAGAGCTTAATCATTACCACGTGAGGCTCTAGAAGCAGACACGTCTGGGCTCAAGTTCAAGTGTCACGTTTACTGGCTGCAGGAGGGTCGAAGGAAAGAAATCATGCAAAGCTCACAAGACAAGTGTCTGGCACATATCAGTGTTCAATCAATGCTGCTAATGGGTGTTTTTTACCTTAATGATAAGGAAGACTGCCGAGGAAGAGTCAAATGCTCCATTGTAGAGGGTAATAATGGTTGAGCGGTGTTTACCGAATAGGTTCCCCACCTAGAGAATATGCGAATCACTTATTCATCGTGAAATGGTATTTCCTGTGCACCCAGCATGCACCAGGCCCTTATTATACCAAGACCCACCTCCATCCCACGAGCCGCTGCCCCCGCTTGAGCCAACCCCACTGGAGGTAGCCGATGCAGAAAAGGGCTTCTCCCTCCCTCTACCAGCCCCTCCCGCCCACCAGGTGCCTGGGATTAGGGCTCACACCTGCAGGTTGGTGATCAGAAACAGGATTCCTCCGACCGTGAGCATGGGCATGGCCAGAAAGAGCAGGAAGGCCGAGTCTGCAATGATCAAAAACAGAGGTGGGGGTGGTGTCACAGTGCAAGGCTGGCTCCCACCTGCTCCAAATTCCCAACCATCCTGGGGCCAGGGCCCCAATTCTGGCCAGCTGTCTAGCCTCCTTGGAGAATCTTAAGGTAGTGGTCAGGGCCCCCCGAATGTCCCCACAGAGGGACCTTGTGGAGGTCTCCGGAGCCCCCTGTTCCTCACAGAAGGTGGCCCTCAGTCTGTAGCTGCCCTGCACATCCATGGGCAGAGGCAAGACTTCAAAGTGAAGCCACTGTTCCCTCCCCTCATTAAGGCCACAGCAGCCCTTCTATTTATGCTTGACACTCTGCTGGGGAGAGAAGCCTGGATTCGGCCCTCAAGACCAGCCTCTAATTTACTGCGTGACTTTGAGCTGGATTCCCAATCTGTGACTCGGTCACTGTATCTGTTAAATGGGAATAACTGTCCTCAGTCTTCCTATCTCATGGAGTGCTGTGAAGTCCGAGCAAGAAATGGCCTTGCATTGTGTTTCCCAGGTTCATTAAACTTGGAGCACTTCCTGTATGCCAGGCATGGTGCTTGGCCGGCACAACCCAGAGACCAGGAGAGAGCATTCCCCCTACAAGTCTTTGCAAGGCATCTCTCTCCAGCCTCAGTCTTCTCCTCTACATAATGAGAGACGAGGAGAATGAACTCGATGGAAATTCCCAGGCCTTGGGAATTTCCTATGTTCATAGACCAGTACAATTTGAAACGAAAACTTGACTACAAGATGGCTGTTGACTTTTGCCCTACTAAGTAAGAATATTTTCAAAAAAAACATCCTTCATGGTTTTGGGGTTTTTTAAATATTTTATTGTCAAATTGGTTTCCATATAACACCCAGTGCTCATCCCCACAAGTGTCCTCCTCCATGCCCATCACCCATTTTCCCCTCTCTCCCACCCCCATCAACACTCAGTTTGTTCTCAGTATTTAAGAGTCTCTTATGGTTTACCTCCATCCCTCTCCTTAACTATTTTCCCCCTTCCTCTCCCCTATAGTCCTCTGTTAAGTTTCTCTTGTTCCACATATGAGTGAAAACATATGGTATCTGTCCTTCTCTGCCTGACTTATTTCGCTCAGCATAACACCCTCGAGTTCCATCCACGTTGCTACAAATGGCCAGATTCCATTCTTTCTCATTGCCATGTAGTATTCCATTGTATACATAAACCACATCTTCTAGATCCATTTGTCAGTTGATGGACATTTGGGCTCTTTCCATGATTTGGCTGTTGTTGAAAGTGCTGCTATGAACATTGGGGTACATGTACCTCCTATGCATCAGCACTCCTGTATCCCTTGGGGAAATTCCTTACAGTGCTATTGCTGGATCATAGGGGAGTTCTGTTGTTAAACTATCATTTTGTTTTTAAAAAGAGAACATGTTAACACAGATGAGACAAAGGAAGGAATCGTTCAAATAAATGCTTCTCTTGGAAGCAGTCCCTCCATTGTCCTTATTTATTTTTGCATTTCTCAGCAGCCCAAACCGGTTTCATAGACCTGCAATCACTCCTTCAAAGATTCTTTCAAGCTCAAAGTCTGTGGATCTCAACAACTGTGGGGGTCAGTGTTTTCTGCCCATCACCATCCCATCTACCAGGTGCCCCTGAGCTTGTGTCCCTCCCACCCCTCTGAGAACACTCACCTGCAGAGATGAAGGCTATGGTGAGGGTGGCACTGGTATAGAGAAATCTGAAATATACAATGGGAGGTGGAAAATGCTGTAAAGAAAAAGGCAGAGGAGATAGAACCAAGGTCCTCCCACTTGGGGTCCCCACAGCCAATCCCCTGGAGAAGTGCCTGGTCTACAAAGCAAAACTTTGAGTTCTAATTCCTCCTTGCTGTGTGATCTTGGGTAAGGCACTGCCCTTCTCTGTGCCTCTGGAGCCTTTTCTATATAAGGAAATGATGGGGCTATTCTAGAAGTTCTAGGGCACTGTGATTTCAGGAGCACAATCCCAAGGTTATGGGGATCTCTTAGCAGTCTGGGGGTCTTGCAAGACATGCGGTAATAGAAGCCGTGCCTCAGTCTGATGTTCTGACTTACAATAGGAAATATACATTTCCTAATATGCATTCGGTCCTTATCCCCAGTGCTCTCACAGGGTTCCTAAAACACCTGTAAGCTCTTTAGTGGTAAGAATGAGAAGAGCATCGGGGCGCCTGGGTGGCTTAGTCGGTTAAGCGTCCCACTTTCGCTTAGGTCATGATCTCGCAGTTCGTGGTTCGAGCCCCGCGTTGGGCTCTGTGCTGACTGCCAGCTCAGAGCCTGGAGCCTGTTTCAGTCTGTGACTCCCTCTCTCTCTGACCCTCCCCTGCTCACGCTGTCTCTCTCTCCTAGAAATAAATTAAAAAAAAAAAAAAGGAATGAGAAGAGCATCTTTGTTCTAATCAGGTGACTCTGGGTGGGCTCCTGGGTGGCTCCTGGTGAGGGGCTGGTCCCCAGAAAGACCACGCCAGAATTAGAAGCTTGAAACTCTTAACCCTGCCCCCCCCCCACTTCTGCAAAAAGTGGAAAGAAGCTGGAAATGATTAATAATTGATCAAGCCTCCATGAGAACTGATGGGCTGGTAGATACAACCACATGCTGAGGGGATGTCACACCCTCGACGGTACCAGAACGAAAGTTCCCGTGCTAAGGACTATCCCAGACCTCACCCTACATATCTATTCATCTGCCTCTTTATCTGTATCCTTTATCATGTCCTTCAATAAACCGGTAAACATAAGTAAGTGTTTCCTTGAGTTCTGTGAGCTCCTCTAGAAAATAATCCAGTCCAAGAGAAAGGAAATCCTAGGAACCTCTAATTTGTAGCCAAGCCAGACCAACGTTGTGGGTGACCTGGGGACCTACCACCTGTGATCGGCATCTGAAGTTGGAAGGCAGTCTCATGGGACCCAGCCCTTAACCCAGAGGACCTGAGGCTCCAGGCTGATGGTGTCAGAATTGAGTTACATTGTAGGACACCAAGCTGGTGTCACAGAATTGCATGGTTTGGGGAAACCCCCCACACACGTGGGATGTGTGACCGGATGTGTCAGAAAGGTAGCCTTCTGTTGAAAGTCAAGGGGGAATGCAGGAGGAGATGTGTAGGATCTTCCCATACAGTTGGTGTCAGTGAAGTGAGAGTTGCTAGAATGGCCCAGGCTCAAGGAAACACATGCTCCCAGGAAGAGAAAAGGATGAAGAGGCCCTGCTCCTGGGTGGCTCTCCAGTGGCTCTGCAGTGACTGTGGTGAGGAGCAGTGGCTGCAGTGTAATCAGTCACTGAAGGGAAAAGTTACCAACCGAATTCAGAAATGCATCCAACTCCTAGGGCGCGGGTTCACCAAAGTGCAAAGTCATAAGCAAAAGCTGAAAGGTATAAGCTCTTGGTTACGGAGATCCGTAATAGCAAAGACGAAATTAAAAGAGAGCGCTGGGTCAGATATTCATGCTAGACTAAGGTCAGATTCGGGGCAGTCTGAGCCTCAGCCATTAGCCTCGAAGTCACGCCCTAGGGAAAAATTAGAAAGTTCCTCTAAGGCCTCTTGGTCCCCAAGAAGGCAGTCCGTGTGGGAGGAGGGTAAAACCACAAACCTGGATGGTGGGGGGGAGGGGAGGCACCATGCAAAGAAGCTGCCATATTTTGTGGATGGGTAGCCTTAGCTTCCCAGAGACCCTTTACTGAAATGGGTGGGGTCACTGCCTCACTTGGGGGCTGGGTCTTGGGTTTTGAGTGCTGCAGAGTAGAAGGACATGGTCTGGGTGGATGAAGGACCCAGGAGCCTGCTCTGGAACAGTCCACACACATAGGAGTTTATACCTGAGGCCACAGCCAGCCTGGTGGACTGGACAGGAGCTACTGTAAGGTCATGTCCCCCTATAAATGGAACATTCCAGATAGAGCAGCAGATACCCTTTGTGTGCAAGACATGTGGGAGTGGCTTAATGGTGACCAGGTCTCAGAGGTAAATGCTGTGGTGAAGGGGGCCCCTTTCACATGGGAACCGCATAAAAACCTATGGCAAGCAAAAGGGCAAAAAAAAAAAACAACCAGTTTGGGAAGGCTTAGTGAGTGTGCGGGCTCAGCTCCCTCTCCTGGGCCTTATAGATGCTAATAAATATATTAGGTCAATTAACAGAAGAATGGGGAAAGGTGGAGGGAAGGATCAAGAGATTGGTCTTAAAAGAGTAGAAATTTTTTTAACAGTTATTAAGAAATAAGGTGAGGAAAGCAAATACTGATCAGGGTGGAACAGAGAGGAAACAGAGGAGAGTCGCGAGTTTATCGCTGGTGGGTGAAAATCTTCAGAGGGTTATGGAGATGTACAATAAAGGAAATGGACATTTGATAAGGTTAACAAAAAAGGTGTTAATACAACACTGCCTCAGGCTGGGAGGGGAGCCAAAGGGACCCCTGCTGACCCCCAGCATTGAAGTACCTGCGCACAAGTCCATTCTCTTTGTCCCCATTTACAGAAATGTTAAAAGCCGGAAGACAGGGGCGCGGGGTGGCTCAGTCGGTTAAGTGTCCGACTTCGGCTCAGGTCATGATCTCAGGGTTCGTGGGTTCCAGCCGTGCGCCGGGCTCTGTGCTGACACCTCAGAGCCTGGAGCCTGCTTCAGATTCTGTCTCCCTCTCTCCCTGCCCTTTCTGTGTTCCCTCTCTTTCTCAAAAACAAACATTAAGGGGCATACAAATGTTATGAAAGTTGGACTGTTTAAACAAGCTTTCTGTAAAGAAGTTGTGTCTCCCTCCCCTGAGGTTTTATGAGAACGGATGCGCGGCCTTGATGGGAATCCTTCCCCTACCTGATGTGGGAAAGAAGTTGTCGACAAAGTCCTAAGGAGGCTCCAGGCAGGAAGAGAAGGGTTGATGGAAGGAAGGGTAAACGTTTATAGGAGACCCAGCACGTCTGAACAGGCTTTGGGAGAAGTGCTTGCGTCTCCTTTCCCTGAAGTGTCTATGGGGGGGCCGCTGTGGGTGCCCAGGCAGCGCCCATCTAGCACCATTGACCAGGAGGCGTGTGCATCCGCCCTTCATGGTAACAGGGCACGTTAAATGGGAGCCAGTGAGACCCCTTGAGCCCAGATGATGTGGAACAGAAGGCGGAACACTGTTAGAAGACAAATTCTCTGTCCATGACCCTCTGGGGAGCCTAAACTGGGGCTCGTGGCAAACGTCTGCGGTCACTTCCCAGCGACAATGACTGGGATCTCTGACGAGAGAATTTCCGTTTAAGGGGCACTATTATCTCACTACCAGACATTAACTGAATCCACACAGATAACTGAAGTACATCAAATGATCTTAAAACAGGAAATGCCCACAATGTCTAGCATGATGTCGGAGAAATGCTTTAATGGGGATGGCAAGGCCCAGAAGAATTCTATACTAAAAATAGCAACGGTTAAACAGGATTGTGCTGCCTGGGGAAAGCAAGGAGGAGACATGGCGAACAGGGAGGCTCTTTTCCCGTAAAAGAGGCTCTGAAACCGTGTGAGGAGCAGGTGGATTCTACTGTCCCTTGGACGGCGCCCCATAAAGAACCCTTGATTAACCAACAAAGAGCGACCTGGCTGCATTCCAAGATGAATGGACAACATCCTAACTGGAAGGCCCCCACTCTGACCCAAAAAGGTAAAAACAGATCAGCTCAGGGGGCTGAATGAACTGCGTGCTCCTGTCCTCGCAGAGAGGAAAGAAATCTACGATGGAAAAGGCCCCTACGATCGGGTTCCTGGTGACCCAATGACCTGACCGTATGGTCATGTAGGAGGGCGCTGGAAACCTGGCCATCCGGGACCCAGCTCTGTGGAAATCACTATGGCATTTGAGGGGTGCACTCAGATAAGAGAACAGGCTTTATGTGAAGGGACTGTCTCTCTTTTACCCGACTGTGTCGGGGGGCGGGGGGGGGGGGGACTCTGTGTCCCAGTGGGGAACGTTCCCCCTAGCTAGCACTGTGGCTAGGGGAATTTTTCTCTCCCCCATGAAGTGGTCACAGGACCAGGGCTGACACTACAAGCGCTAGAAGCAGGGATGATTCCTAAGCAAGAAACTGTGTTAGAATTCCTAAGGGCCTGGTGGGGCAGGCGTGCTGTCCCTCTACCTGCCAAAATTGGGACTAACAGCATGTACCACCATATTGCCCGGTGGGAAAGACAGCCCGCGGGTGCTATGCCTGTGCAAATTTGCGCTGTCTGAAAGGGCAGATGGGCTGAGGGGGAGGCACTTGCTGAATGGGTGTTTCTGCCTGGAATCCAGATGAGCACAGTGGCCAAACCACCCTTCGAAAGGTGGAAGTGTTACGGTACTGATAGAGAAAGGGAACGGGGGTAAGGGGATGAATAAGCCAGCTCTGTGACGAGGGAAACCCAGTATTACAGGAACACTTCGAAAGAGGCTCAGAGCAGCAGAGCCTATTGCCTAAGCTCAATGATACCAGACGCCTGAAGGGTAAAGGTATATAATGTTCAGACCATGCCTGCTTCTGGAACCTGACGGGATCAAACGAAAGCCTGTAGATGTAAGTGGCCCTGGGAGACATTTTCAGTTGCTATGATGAGGGACTGGATAGCTATCCATGACTGAATGTGTTTCTGATAACGTGCTGCTATCTTTTGAACGTTATGGTTGTTTCTGCCACAAGGGATCCACCTTCAAAGACGAGGAGTGTACAGTGACATTGTGGTTTACTATAAGAAATCCACATTTGGGCTCTGTCCTGGAATCCCTGACACGGGGCTCCTAAAACCCTCGTAAACTCCATACTAAGAGCACTAGGAGCATTTCTTCTTCCACGGGGGCGGCTCCGGTAGGCTCCCACACAGCTCCTACATGGGCACCGGTCACCAGGAAGACAAAACCACGACTGGAAGTTTGGGAGCTTTCAGGCTCCCCCAACCCTACTTCTCTAGAGAAGGGGTGGGACTGGAAACAGTTAATAATTGATCAAGCCTCCACGAAGAAACCTCCATAAAATCCCAATAGGATGGAGCTCAGAGAGCTTCCAAACCCGTACCTTTCATCTGTATCCTTTATCCGATCCTTTAATAAACTGATAAAACATGTTTCCCTGAGTTCCATGAGCTGTTCTGGCAAATAATCCAGTCCAACAGGGAGAAGGTCATGGGAATCTCCGATGGGCGGACAAAAGCTGGGGGTAACCTGAGGGACCTACTCCTTGCAACCGGCATGTGAGATGGGGGACAGGCTTGTAGGACCCAGCCCTGAACCCCCAGGCCATGCTGTCTGCTCCAGGTGGACAGTGTCAGAGCTGACTGAAATGGCAGAACACCCAGCTGACGTCACAGAATTGCTTGTTGTGTGGAAACACCCCACATGTTTGGTGACCAGACATGTCAGAAGTAAAGTGTTCTATATGAAAGTAAAAGAGAAATGCAGGAAGGTCAGAGTTTTCACCTCCGAAGGCCAGAGAGAAGGGAGGGATCAAAAGAAAGGGTAGGAGGGAGACAGGGAGCCACAGACCAAGACAGACTGAGATAAAGGGATCATACAGCCAAAGGCTTAAAGGGCAGGAACTGGCTTATCAGGTGACCCTCCAGGCCCTCTGTCTGTTGGCTCATTCCCCAAGCATATGTCAGCAGGTACCTGCTCTGGGTCCTCTCAAGGCCTCAGCAGGTACTTGTCACTGAAGCTGGCCAGCTGCAGTGCCATCCTGTGTAAGTGAGGTGAGGTCCCTCACCTTCCGTGAAACCCCCACTGTCTCCCCTCCAATCAGGGGGTCGGGGAATCCCACCACTGGGGATACCCAGGAGACCTTACTAACTAAGTATCTGGGGAATGGCAGGGGGGAGATGGTCAGGAAGATGACAAGCCTGGAGAACATGGATGTGAGGCCTTGTAGGACATATAGACAAGCCCCCCTGGGGTGAAGGCAGAATGACAATTTTAGGTTCTGTTATTTTAACCCAGGCACCAGGCCAGCCCTCACCGGAAGTGGGCCTGGGCTCCTGCTCCGTTTCAATACACTCACGAGGAACAGAGGAAGAACAGGGCAGGGGAAAGAGAAGTAGGGGTGCATGGAAGAGGGTGGATCCACACAGAGTCCCCGTCCTGGGCTATTTCTGACTGCTGCCAGGACGGGGCCGGGCAGAACTGCCCAGTCGCCTGGCTGGGCCTCCCCGCAAGTGAGGCTGATTTCCTCTTGCCTGTCCTGATTTCCTCTTTCTTCTGCCCAGGCCGGGCCTTCAGCACTTACATGGCTATGAGGCGAGCCACGGTGGTCTTGAACCTGTCAAAGATGTAGCCAGCAGGGAAGGTCATGAAGTTGTTCATGAAGGAAGCCAAGGTGAAGATGAGTGAGAACCTCTCATCCTGTGCTTTGCAGTCTGGAGGAGAGAAAGGGGAGATCTCAGGGAACTGAAGCGTGACAGCCCCTAATTACCCCTCGGGGGCTGGTACTTCCCTCCTAGGTCAAGGTCAGGGGGTTGGTGGGGAGGCTGACACTCCTTTCTGCTCAGCACAGAAAGGCTGGCAGTGTGGGCAGAGGATGGGGTCCCTCATACCCCTTCCTACCGCCTGGGAACCAGACTCTACCTCCCTAGAGACGTCCCTTACCAGTTGTGAAGTTGCCCGTGGGACCGGCATCCCGTTCACACAGCTTGTCAAAGTAATGCTCTGCTTTGAAGACATACACCAGTGACGTCCAGCCGAAGAGGACGCCCGCGAAGCCCAGGCATTCCAGCAGCCCTGTCAGCAGGGTGGCCACTCGAAGACACAGACCCTGGCCCGGCATGGCCTCAGCTGAAGCCGATCCCCGAGTTTCAGTGGGGGCCTCCCGCGCTGACCACAGAAGTCTCAAGGGCTAGCCTTCCAGCACCTGGAAAATTCCTCTGGCACACGTTTCTGTCCCAGTAGGCTCTGGTTCTAGCTGGGGCCTGGGCAAAACACGCAGTGGGCAATTCTCCGGATCCTGTAAAATAAGGCAGAGGCTGCTTGGCTCTGGGGGGGCCTCCTGGGAAAGTAGATGTGGCCCAAGGGTTCTGGGAGGGGTGGGGGGAGGCCAGCTGTTAGCAACAGCTGCAAAAAGCCTCTCTACCCCACGCTGGCAGGGAGGGAAGAAGCAGGAACTGAGCCCAGTTTTGGAGACGGTCCACAGAAATAGTAACGGCGGCAATCCTGGGGGGCGGGGGGCGGGGGTGACACTTCATATACGTCCTCACAAAGTCTCAAAACAACCTGGCAAAGTTAGCGTTTTGTTTTCTTCAGTTTACTGACAAGGGAATAATGGGTCCAGGGGGTGTTGTCAACATGTCCCAGGTCACACGGTCTAATTAGTCACAACACAAGCCAGTCTAAAGCCCAAAATATCGCGCTCGGGCAGGACCTTCCCTGACCCGGGTTAGGGCCCCTTCCGCCTCTCCGCGTGTCACCCTCTGCCGCCTGTCACCCTCTTGTCACCCTCTGCCCCCGGGGGACCCGAGCCTCACGCGCACCCGCACCCCCACCCGCATCCCCCCTCCCCCCCCCAGGCTCCCCGCGAAGGCGCCGCAGGGGTCCTTGGCCTCCGGCCGCCCCTCCCCCCCAGGGCCCCAGCGCCCTACCTGGCAGGCCACCTCTCTGGAACTCCCCAGCCACCCTTCGCGCCCTTCGCCTTTGGATTCGGATTCGCGCCTCTCGCCGCCCCTGCAGCCCCGCCCTCGCCACCCCCCTCCAGTCCGGAAGGGCCCTGACAGCGGGGGCGGTGTCTGGGGAGATCCACACCCCCCACCCCACTCTCTATCACTTCCTTACTCTCTTGCTCACAGTGTCGCCTGCGCGCTTTTTGGCCCTTGGATCTTCTCTCCGTTATCTCTCTCCAGCCCCAGGGTGTGCGTTTTCGTCTCTCCGGATACCCGTTCAGCCCTCTGGCCCCCGCGCCTGTCCGCCCTCCTCTAACCAGGTTAGTTTCAAAACTGTCGCAGACACCAGGCGCACGTGGAGGGGACAGCCAGCCACCTGCAGACACGTGGACGCGCACGTACCCCCTATTCCCGGGGCTTCAGCTCCACCACTTGGGTGGGCACGGAACACATTTTTGCCCTTTTGCGCCCCCCGCCCCGCCCAGCTCAAACCTCTGTCCTTATCCCAGGCTCCCAGGGCTGCCGGCAAATCGCCAGCACAGACTCAGAGAGCCAAGGACCTGTACTGGACAGTTTGCCGGAGCCCATCCCCCACCACCCCCCATCCCCCACTCCCATGGGGGGTCCTTGCCTTTTCACCCCCAAGGACCCCTTTGATTACTCCCTGCCTCACCCCCAGCCCCCGTTCTGAAAGATTTTACTCGCCAGACTGGGTTGATTAAGTATTCATTCATTGCTCCATTTTTTATTAATCAAAGACCTATATAATTGCCCACTGGAGCTTGTGAGCAGCATGAGAAAGGCAGCTGAACCAGCTGTGGGGCTATCATTCCAGGCCAGAGCAGTGAGCTGACAGCTTCCTTGGCCTGCGTGGCCATTTCCCCCATTCAAAGCTGTATTTGGGGGAGAGCGTCTTGGGTATTCCATGCAGTCTGCAGACCCCCACACCCAGCCTTCTGGATTCCCCCTGAGGCCAGGGACCCAAGCTATTCCAAGCCCACACTTCTTTTTGATGAGAAAGAAATAAAAGATTAGAAAAGGGGACGGCCGGGTCCGGACACTGTTTTCCAGACCTCTTACCAAAGCACAAAGGATAAAGAAAGTGTGCCCACCAAAGTGACTGACCGGGCACTGGGGCCAGGGCACTCACCCAGGCCCTAACCCCAGGTACTCACCACCTACACAGCGCTGGGGAAGCTCTTTGGCTACCCTACCTGTAAGGGGAGAACCACAGCACCTTAACTGCAATATTTGTCACAAAGGAAGATGAGATGAGTTGCAGGTATGGTAGACAATTGGCAGACTGCGCAGGGCACTGGGTTCTCCAGTTTCCAGATATGTACACAGCCAGAGAAGCAGCCTTGAGTGGGGACTTTGAAGGAATTTGACCAAGGTCAGGCCACCCTATAGAGTCTCAGTGTCTGCCTGACTCCCAGACCTGTGCTCTTGACCCTCCCAGTCTGAACATCGGGTATTCAGACATGAGAGCAAACAAATCTTGTCTTAAAAAACCCATTGATGGAAACAACCATACGAAAATCTAGCAGCCCGGGACAAACAGGCCTTAAGATGTCAGATTTTTCTATCTTTACTGCAAGACACAAAGACACGGAAATTAATTCAAGCCCTCTCTCTGCTCTGGCTTACATTTTGGTCTCCAGAGGACCTGGGGGGATCAGTGAGTGTGGGAGTAGCAAGGGAGGAACAGAAAAAGTCAAAGCGAAGAGAGAGAGAGATTTTAGAATGTAAATCTGCAGGCGCAGGTCCGAAAGGCCCAGCCCGCGGGCTGGCTGTGCATCCAGGACTGGAGCCCGGGACTTGGCACACGTCGCCAGGGCTTTGTCCACCTTATCCTGTGACCTCTGTCGGGGCTCCCAGTGTCCCCACCCTACACCCACCTCAATGTCTGCAGGAGACACTGCCTCCAGTCATGCGACAGACTCACTGAAATTGTTGGGACAGAATATTAGAATGTTCTCTGAACCGTTCCCATTTTATTTGGTTCGAGTTCCAGCAGCTCGCAGAGGCAGATGCTATTCCCACCACTTGCTGCCTCGCTCCGATGAGGATTAATGTGTCACATCAGAGAGAGGACTGATTATAACAAAGTCTGACGGGGCACCCGATGTCTTCATTCCCTTCCTCTTCACTTCCTTCCTTCCCCTTCACCCTGTGTCTCTTTCTTATTGATTGATTCACTCAACAAACAGAGGCGGTGCCCTAGGCTTTGTGCCCGGGGTGGGATTCAGAGAGAAGAGAGAGATTCAGCGTCTTTCCCTTAAGGAACTCATTCTTTAGTTAGGGAGACAGACAATGAAACCCAGCCAGAAGCCAGCCCAGCACATTCAGAGGCATGGAGCCTCGACACAGGGAGAACATTCAGGAACCAGCTCGAGCAGAGAATGGCCACGGTAGTGGCAGTGCTCAAAGCTGGAGCTGCCAGCTAAATGAAAGCATTTGGACTTGGGCCCATATCAGTCATGCCCTATTGATCCCACCCCTTAATACACCTCCTATCCATCCTTGACCGCTGTCCTGCTCAGACACTCATCATCTCTCACCCGGACATTACCTCCTTCCAGACCCTAACTGTTCCGCTGCTGCAGTTGATGTCCATGGTTCCCAGTTGGTGACACCACTCAACTGCTCGAAACCGCTCAGAGGCTAGAGTTCCAGTCAGCCAGCTGGTGAGGGCCTGTCCGTGGGAGATTACTGCATTGGAGGGAAGAGGGGAACACTGAACTTGATCTCTTGGCTCCCAGGCAAATACTGGTGCTGGGGGGCTTTTCCTTCCCATGACCATGTCTGGGTATCCAGGGTCCACTCTACAGATGTTTCTGTCGCAAGAGGGTATGTGGATGTAGGTCAGGGAAGAATGGTCTGGTAAACAAGGCAGGGTGGATGAGCTGCACCAAGCCATCCTTGGGCACAAGCAGGGCCACCTTCCAGTGCAAGGCCCCCAACCCTCCACCCTCCACCCCCCACCCCTTACTCTACCCCCACCATGGCACTGAGCTCTTTCCTCAAACCTCCTCCAAATAACCTCAGCCAGGACCCACCACCCACACTCAGTCATCACTTTCCGGGCAGGGTGTACATACTCTTTCCTGTCCCTCATCCCTTCCCAAGTTTCTATATGTGGATACACCATGAGCCATTAATATACAGGGCTTTGCTTTCTGATATGCCAAAACAATCAAACAAACGAAACAAAACACAGGCCTTGTTGTCCTTTGGAGATCCGGTCTCCTGTAAATCAAAATGTTTGGTTTCCCCAGCTGGGATCTTGAATGAGGTCCTAAGAGCTCCTTTTGGAAGTCAAAAGATAAGCAAACATCTTCTCTTTCATTTCAACCGAGGAGGAAGAAATACTACTCATCTTGAGGCAATACCAAAACAAAACAAAATTCGTACACCCATATCGGGCCACTTATTGATCTTACTGATTCCTATGAGTTCAGTCTCCTCATGTATGAAATTGGAATCAGTCTGTTGGACGGATTAAAGATAAGGTAAGGAAATCACCCACTTTGTACACTAGCTAGTAACTAGCAACTAGGGGCACCTGGCTGGCTCGGCTGGAAGAGCATTCGACTCTTGATCTCAGGGTCGTGAGTTCGAGCCCCACGTTGGGTGTAGAGATTACTTAAAATAAATACATAAAATTTGATGAATAGCAACAATTGTTACCAAAAATGATTTAATTACTGAAGAACACAGAGGAAATTATGATTGAGGAGGATTGTAAAGTGCTCCTAGCCTTAATGAGAAATAAATGAGAAAAACAAAACACTGTATAATGAGTGACCTTAGCCTTTTGTTCCAGAAAGCCTACCCTGGAGAACTGATCTCTAGGTGATGTCCAGGTAAATGCACATCTGTGTAGTCATCTGGGTGTCCTCCCCGACTTGGCTGGGCTTGTCCAAAGCAGGGACTTGGTTGATTATACTCTGAGCTGCAGGAAGGAAATCTATTCATTGAATCAGAATAAACAGGGAAGGGAAGGAGTCTTACCGATGACTTTTCAGGGTATCTCATCTCCCAGTGCCTTCAAAAGAGCTCTGACAAGGGTGGGGAGCCACTACCTTGCTCTGAATGAAGACGAGCATTCCTTGCTCTGGGAAGACCTTTCTGTAACCAAAGGTGAATCTTAAAGGCCGTTCAAGAGGCACCTGGGAGAGGGGGCTGTCCCAGCCTGTCAGGTCAACCAGCTTAGCCCTGGCAGATGCTGGAGTCAGAAGCCACTACCACCAGATCAGGCCCCCTGCGCCATGCAGAGACCAGGGGGCTTCTGCGCCAGTCACCGTGATAGAAACAGGGGGCCCTGGGCCCCACCACACTCAGCCCTGAAATCCTCAGCTCTAATTCCATGCTCGTGAAGCAACTGCGTATTGGTAACTTGCCTTTGGTATAGACTTTGGTAGAACACAGTGCCCGGGTGCATGACAACTTCTAAATCTCCAAGGCTGAGGAGCAAGCTGGGGAATGGTGTTGACACCAAGGGCTGCCTCGCCCCTGAGCAGAATAAATATCAGTAGTACCCGATGGTCACTGAGCACGCCACCAGTGAGGTACTAAGTGCCTTGTACTCATTCTCTCCTTGGATCTCCTAACAACCCTGTGGGAACAGGTCCTGTGATTAGCGCCCATTATCTGGGCCAACTGAGGCCCTGAAGGATTAAGCCATTCCCCCAACCTCACATCAGTAGTAGGTGTCAGGGCTGGGACAGAAATCAGAACCCGTGCTCTCAACCAGTACCCCACCCAGCCTCCCTGAGGGGGTTCCCCCAGCGCTAGACAGAGCATGAGCTCCGGAATTGGGCTGCAGTGCATGTCAATTATTAGTAATAGGCACGGGGGGTGGGAACCGTTCCCAAGGCATCCTTGATGGAAACAAGGGAGAAGCATCGCCTTCCACTCTTCATTGGGCCTGTGTCTCCCAGCCCTACTCACCCAAACACTCCCACACATGCACGGGCACACTCACAAAAGCAACAGGATTTTCCAGATGTCCAGCTCCCCCAAGGTAAAAATAACAGGAAG